TTCCAGCATGGAAAACTGCTCCAGGATTCCAGCCCTGTCCTACTTAGGGAGTGCAAAGAGCTTCTCGTTGTCTGTTCTCTGTTGAGCTGTGGAAAACTCTTCAAGCAGAGTCAGGTCTCAAAGCACAGCTCAGGCTCCTCCTGAGCTCTGCTGACTTAAATGAGACACTTCAAAGGCATCTTCTGTTCAACTGACAAGGTTTTCCCTGCTGCATCCTGGCTCTTTGAAGTGCTTTCAAAGGGAACACAGACCCTGCTGGAGGTTGAAGTGGCCCCAACAACCCGGAGCATCAAATGGTTCCCACCAGCCAGCAAAAGCTTTGCAGCAAAGAGCACGTTGCTCACAGCAAACACTTGGAACACCAGTGAGATGAGCTGTAATTTGGGGGGTCAAACCAAGCACTAGACCTTTGTAAGTCCCCACCAGTAACCTGGACTCCTAAACTAGGTGAGCACCAACCTGTCACCACTGCTGCTGACATCAAAATGTACCACCAAGGTTCTTGTGTTGCCTTCATCTGCTGCCAAAACCTGGCAGCAAAGCCCAGCTCTGGTGGGCTTAGGAGCTGGACTGAGGTGAGCTCTGAGGCAGAAGCTCTTCCCTGTGAGGGTGCTGAGGTGCTGGCACAGGGTGCCCAGAGAAGCTGTGGCTGCCCCATCCCTGGCAGTGTTCAAGGCCAGGTTGGACACAGGGGCTTGGAGCAACCTGCTCTAGTGGAAGGTGTCCCTGCCCGTGGCAGGGGGTGGAGCTGGAGGAGCTTTAAGGTCCCTTCAACCAACCCACTGAGGGCTGCTGTGACTCTATGCTGATATCTAATGTAAATCCCCTTGTCCTGTCATGAGGTGGGTGTTTTCCTCCCAAGATCAATGTCCCAAACCTGCACACACCCACCCAGGCTCCTCACTCCATCCCCTGCTCCTCACCATCTCCCCCCCAGGCAGCAGAGCACCTCCAGCTCTGCCCACCCGCCGAGGGAAGGCAAATGCCCTCTTGGCATCAGTCTCCTGCTTTGCTTTGGCATCACTTGGCTGTTGTGGAGGCACCTGCCCCGGTGTCACCCGGGAGAGCAGCAGCCTGGCCCCACGACGGTTTGGGACACAGGAGGAGGATCACACGTTATCCCCCTCCTCCCCTGTTGGTACATTTCTCCCCTCTTTCATTTCCCTTCTCCCTGTACTTTTCATGATGAGGAAGAGGTTCCAGGCATGTTCTGCTGTCAGAGACGCCAAGATGAAAAGCAACCAAAGCCCTTCTTCCCAGGGCTGTTTCGATGATGGGTTGTTCTTCTCCCCCTCTCCTGGCTGCGATCTGCTCCGTTATGAATAAAACATCTCCTCACACGCTCCCCTTCATTAACCTGCTCACAGAGCTCCTGGTAAAGGCCTCTGGAAACCCAACTGGATTATGGAAAGTGACCTCCCTTTGCCCACCAAGAATCCCAGTTTAGCAAACAGTGACTGTCCTTTACAGGAGCTTCATGAATCAGACCCCAATCACACCCTTGCCTCTCTTGAACCCCGCTTCAATGTCAAGCTCAATACCTGTTCCCTTTGTGGTTCTTCCTTTTAAACTCCCTCCAGCCCCCTCAGGAGCAGCTTTTCAACGAGGAAACCTCTCTGATGCCATCCCAACCATTCCATGTGCATCCCAGAGCTGACACTAAACACCCACAGTCCCACCAGCACCAGACTCCGGTGGGGAAAGAATTGGAAGGGAACAAAAGAGATGATTCCATTATTAACCTATCGCTTATCTGCAGGTTTAATGTCACTGCTGTTTCCCTGACTTTAAGGGGAACCCTCACAAGAGGGAAACAAAGTGCTCGCTGTTGGATGTAAGGTAAGGTTGGACTCATGGAACCCCCGCCTGGTTTGGGTTGAAGGGACCTTAAA